GTCTTCCTTTATCGCTTCTCTGCATAGCTTCGCAAGCTCAGACGTCAGCTGGTAATTGCCTGCGGCTCGTGCGGCTCCACGTTGGCGAATCAGCTCGAGAGTTTCCAGAGATAGACGCTTCTTGGTAATCTTGGAACTCTCTGACTTCTTGGCAGTCGTGAAGATGTGCGACAAGCCGTTCGTATTCCTCGTCGATGTTGTCGATGACGGAATCCTCCCAGAGCCCAGCGAGAGAAGTGAAGTGATCCCAGTTGATGACGGTCTTGGGGCTTCGCTTCTTGAACTTTGCGGCTCTCTCTCCTCGCATCGAAAAGCGGAATCTTGCGCGAAGGAGACGGTGGTCGGATCCTGTAGAACTTGGGAACAACAGCGACATCGGTCAGGCAAAACCTTCGATTGAAGATGATGTGGTCGATCTCGTTATGGAATTGTCCACCAGGAGACTCCCATGTCCAGCGTAGAGAGTAGGGCTTCTGGAACTGCGAGTTACCATGGATGGTATGGGTCGACATGATAAACTCAGACAGCCTTTCACCCTGCGTTCCGTGAGTTCCGATGTGAAGTTCTTCAGCCGTTCTTCTTGGTCCGATCTTAGCGTTGAAATCACCGACGATGACCTTGAAGAAGGTATGATCTTCCTTGTAGAACTTTCCAATTCCATATAGAACGCTTCGAGCTCATCCTCGTCGTAGCTTGATGTTGGTGCGTAGGCGACGAAGATTGTCAAAGCCGGAGTTGAACCACATCTTCTCAATCGATTCGGGTCGTCAGATTTTCGTACGAATCGATGTTCATGGCCAAGTGCGTGTTGACGAGGACGCCCACACCGCCAACGCCTCTGCTGTCGCATGTTCCGAGGAACAGTTCTTCTCCAGTCTCGTATACGGCGATGCCTCCTCGTCTCGGTCAGTCCGATGACGTCGTACTTGATCTTCCTGGCTTGCAACATCAGATCTTCGATGTGAGCTTCCGATGCAAGCGTCCGTGCGTTGAAAGTACAGATCGTCATCCTAGTCCTGGGCGACTAAATCTCCGTTGGCCCTGTGATTCTTGCAGCCTCGCCCGAGCGGTCCCAGCCGACGTCGCCCTGTCGGTGGTTCCCTCAGGTTCAGGGGAATGAGGCCCATAATTATTACTGTTTTCGGCGAGAAGAAATTTGACCACGCGTAGCTCGCCAGGCTCTGACGTGGCACCCTCCGCATTGGTACGGTTTTGGAACAGTCCAAACCGTTCACCCCACGCCACGTTGAGGCTGCGGATAGGATTTGTTTGATATTTGTGAAGAATAAATCAGAAAAAAACATGTCGATTGCCCCAGATAGAACTCCTCTCCGTACGAGTTTGAAAGTGCGTCACCTTCATCTCCTACACTACCCAGTCATCCGCACAGCTGATTCCTTTCACCGATAAGAACTCTAAAGGAATCGTGCGGTCTGTTTTCACGTTCATGAATAGCATTCAAGACGTGGTAAATATTATAGAATGTATTAGATCTTCGGTGAAAAAGTAGAACATTTTCTTAACCAAATGGAAGAAAAAATGTGAAAGGATCATATTTGGTTCCCTATTAAGAGAGTCGCTTTCATGAATGACCCGCTGACAGTGCCCAGTAATCTCCAGACCCAGCAGCTTCAGTTTTCATCAATGTCAATGAACAATGTTGATCAGTTGGTGATCGAATAATCGTCGTAACGTTTGCCCTTGAACAGCGCCTCCAAGCGAAAGGGCACATGATATCGCAGACAACTAAACGGGTTTGTGTATTGTTTTTATTGGAATATTTCCACAATATGGCCAATTGGGGTATGACTATGTGATGAGCAGTTATGCCCTTTCTGTAGTTATGTGGTGCCATCCACTTGTCAGTCTGGCCCTCGAAGACAGGTAATAGACACCGGCGATGAGGTTTGGTTCTCTGGTTAGAGCAGTTTGGAAGTCACAACGGTGAAATCCATCGATGATCATCTCTTAGGCACTCGTGGTTTTCGAGGCGGAATATGAGTGGCTTATCCCCACATTTGATCAATTCCGACGTTCGTGAGTTTGGCTTGGAGAACGACATCACCTTTAGTTTGGTTAAAGACACATGGTACGCTCAAACACATTGAGGGTGTATGAGACTATCAGCCCCCAGCTGTCGATGTGTCGTGGTCCCCCCGCCCAAAACTGCACGGGGTCAGAGTACGGGGCCGTGGGAAAGTCGTAATTCCTTGCTACACCGCCCTCACGTTTATGCTAACACCATCCGCGCGGCGCGGTCGCGTGCAGCTCTCTTGGCTTTTTGCCAAGTCCTGTAATTGCGCTTTGGAATACAAGTACAACGCAATTTCTTTATGCGGATAACATTTTAGGTGCTGCAAAATAAGAACCGAAGATGATGACGAGGGCTAGAACTCAAGAGCAACTGTGCTGCTTCTGCAATATCCCTCAGAGGCCGCGCATTCCCACAGAACATAAACAATAAAAACGGACAACATGGCAGTAAAACATGCCAATACAAGCAAAACGCAATTTC